CCCGTGCAGGCTGTGCCACCCGCACTAATCGCCCTTCCTTGCCACGCTTAGGGTCCGGAATCGCCGTGCCGGGGTGCCCGTCTGTGTGGATGCCCTGCACCCCACGCTTAGGTTCAGATTCCCCGCTCCAGGACTCCCCGAGTGGCGTTCTGAGAGTGCACCTTTAGATTTAAGAAGTATAGTGAGTCCTAAACAGGAAAAACGAAATTAAATCTTAACCCGACACACTGTGACGAAACTGCAGAAGCCCAGAAACAAAATTCTTAAAATTCCTGAAAGAAAAAAGAGATTGCTTATCCAGGAAAAGCAATTAGATTCACAGATGAATTAACAGATGCCAGCGGCAAAGGCTATCTTAAGGTTCTGAGAGGAAATAACAGTCAACTTGCAATTTTATATCCAGGTAAATTATGATTTTCAGCAAAACAAAGACTGAGATACCAAAAGATTCATACCGAAAGCTCCTCTCAGTAAGAATGAAATTGAACACCTAAGAAAACAGGAGGTAAGAAAAATGGAGAACAACAAAGTTAGAAAATTTACAGATGACTCCAAGAAACTACCACTATATAAAACAACAGTCATGATGACAATTTGGTAGTTCTAAACAAAAGTTAGAAATATTTCCTTCTTAATTATGACTGAGACATTCTAAGTCCTTATTATTGTTCAACAGCAGAGTAGAGAAATTAACTTTACGCTTGTAAGCCAGGTAAGAATGTCTCAGAATGTAAAGGGCAAGCACTAGGAGAATAGAGGGGGAAAAAGTATGCATCCAAACCAATAGAGATAAAAGGGTATAAAAAATTATTCAAATTATTAGGAAACAAGAAAAGAGAAAGAAGATAAGGAAGGGAAAAGAAGAATAAATAGAAAACACAGAATAAGATGGCAGATACCTACATTTATCTGAAATCACAGTAACTGTAAACAGATTAAACTCAATGATTAAAAGGACAGAAATTGTTGAACATATAACACAGACTGAGCGTTTACTACCCATAGGTGCTCGGTGAAGGCACTACTCAAAGCTGTAGTGAACATAATGCAACAGAAAGTAGTAGTAAGAATGCAGAAAAAATTTTCAACAAGGAAATTGGTAAAATATATGCATTAAAAAATGAATAAAAACCTCAGTCATTTTAAACCCCGTTTTATGTACCACTTAATGTAGAGTGCCTCCGTGGAATGTGTGAAGCAAGCAATACGGTGCTTTTGGAGTTCGGCTGCTTTGTAAACTTCTTGCTTAGATAATCGTTTTGCTTTGAAGCTTGTTCTCAAGTTCATTAGTTTCATATCCTGTGGTGCATCATGGTTTTCTGTAGAACCTCACACTGAGCTCCAAGCTTTCATGATTTCTTTTTGCTTTTTTGTACACAAAAAAAATCATACTGCTATGTACCAGCTCTCTTTGATGAATTATTCTTACTTGCCTCTAGATTTGTATTTTAACGCTGCCTAACAAAATTGCATTTTGCAGCATACACTGCACAGTTATCTTAATTGGTATTTCAGTCTCTCTCAGGTACTACACGAGTCATCACTGGTAAAATTTTTCTTTTGGTCTGGACAGCTCAAGAAGAGTAGTTAATGGCCGGGCACAGTGGCTCACGCCTGTAATCCTAGCTCTCTGGGAGACCAAGGCGGGC